GGGGGGGGGGGGGGGGGGGGCTCACTTTCAGCTCCACCGCGTTGATGAGTTTACCGCACAGGTCACACTGGTCACCCCTGGCCTCCTCGTAGCCGCAGAACGGGCAGTGTCCCTCGACGAAACGGTCAGCTAGGAATCTCTCGCAGGCCTCACATCGCAGCTGGTCCACGGTGTCGCTGCGCAGGAAACCCCGCTCCAACAATCGCCTGAAGATGTCCTGGGCAATCCTGTAAAAGGACGACACAAAGAAAAAAAAGAAAAAAGCGGAAATATACGGTCAGAACGGGAGGGTTCAGAGCGTGCGTGTCTGTCTGTATCGGAGTGTGTTGTGTGTGTGCGTGTCTGTGTCTGCACGCGCACATATACCTACCTGTGCGTGCACACGCGTGTATCTCTGTCTGCACGCGCCTCTGTACTGGTGGGTGTCTGTGTGTCTATCTGCCTGTCTGTGTGGGGTGGGGGTGTTGGGTTTAGAGGCAGTGCACAAAGACAGAGAGAGCGCACGTGAGACGCGCACGTGAGACACACACACACACACACACACACACACACACACACACAGCTCCACTGTACTCTCCCCTGCGGAGTCCATTCTGATGGTCAGTGCCACCGCCCTCCCCCCGCAGAGACCCAGCCAGGCCAAGCCAAAGGTCACAGGGCACCGACCTCTTCCCCCTCCCCCCCCCCCACCACAAGGAGGCTGGAGCCAGCAGCGGAGGGAGGGACGAGGGACAGAGACACCCACCTGGTTTGGTGCTCCGTGGTGGTACGCCCGAAGTAATCGAAGGAGATCTGGAACCAGGAGTAGATGTCGCTGTGGATGGCGTTGTACTTGTCACAGATCTGGCGGGGGGTCAGCCCCTCTTCCACGGCCTTGGTCTCCGTCGCTGTGCCATACTCGTCCGTGCCACAAATGTACAGGGTGTTCCAGCCCCTCAGCCGACAGAACCTGCAGGGGGACAGCAGTGTAGGACACAGCCATTCGGCCCCACCAGCCAAGCAACCACCCCTCTCCTCCAGCCTGTCCCACAGGAAACAGGAGGGGGCCATTCACACACCCACCTCCCCCCGCCCCTGTCCCACAGGGAACAGGAGGATCCCATTCAGCCCCCTCTCCTCCAGCCTGTCGCACGGGAACAGGTGGAGGCCATTCAG